GAGGGTTGCGATCCGTTGCCGGACACAAAAAAAGAAAAAAAGGAAAAAAAAAAAAAAAAAAAACTTGGGGGAGTCAAAAGTTATATGAGGATTTTCAACTGTGGGGGCAGTTGGAACACTTAACCCCCGCATTGTTCAAGGGTCAACTGTACAAACCCAGTGGGTCATTGGGAATGATGGTAAATAGAGCCAATCCTATTTCCACCACTTGGTTTCCAAATGCACATATGTATCTTTCTTTTGGGGGACATGGTGTGCCACTCTCTTTGAGGTCTTTGATCTGGTGCATATTCAGTGTCCTCAAGGATGGGGCCCATCATCTCTGAGTTGCTGCTGCCACTGTGCTGCAGGGCCATGCCAACGCTTTTTCAGGATGGCAGCTTCTGGATGGTGTGCGGTGTAATAAAACAGGTGGAAACTGTGGCCGTGGGCCCACTGCTGCATTCTCTGTGCTGAAAAGTGAGTTGCCTGGTCTGATGTGATATTATATCGGACAGTCGCTGGCTCAGCCCCTGAAGACAAGAAAGTCGATCCCATCCTGGGAACACCTGTCTGTTGCTGTGAGGACACACCAGTGGCCCTTCAGTAGGGAAGGTGTTACCCCTGCCACCTCGTGGTTTGGACTCTTTGAGGAATGGTGCTATATAAGCTGTTTGGTAGCAGTCTCTCTTGCTGGAAGATTGGAAGTTTGGTGGTGGCAGTAGCTACAGGAGACATCGTGAGTGGAGTCCATGCCAATGGGCCTATGCGTAACCTCTGTCCCTGCCACTGGGGCTGCTTTGTTCCTGTGTATATCATGCCAGCACTGGGGTGGCCTGTGGAAGAGGCTGGCTGACGTCCACCTGCTGGGTCATTTTCTCTGCCTGAGGCTGGTGCTTCTTTCATGGTGGATCCCTCTGGCCACCGCTCACGCACCATGGGAAGACCTTCACCCTGCACATGCACTCTCTGCCATCCACCACGTGCCTCAGATTTCCTTGTTCCTGGTCTTCCAGGCTTTTCTGTTTCTGGCCCCTGACTCTCCAGCCACGCCACCTACTACTACCCACGAGTTCACGTATGTTCTAGAGTTGGGCTACTTTTCCCCCACGAAGTAGGTAACTGGTACGCTGCCTGCAGGTCACCAGGTGGGAGGATTTTCCCTTGCTACTGTCTTTCCCGAGTGACACCGCAGTGTGGCTGCTGCGCATCTTCAGCTCACACCCACCCAATGAGCCAGCCATCCAAGAACCATAGTCAGCTGTCATCTTGTCCTTCAGCTGGTTGTACAGGATCACCATACAGCCACACGCATGGAATGAGGGAGGGTGCTGGCCAAAGAGATGACCACTGCAGCTGACATGACAGCAGTAACTGAAACTACCAAATGTGTTTACATGAATGACTTTATAATGATATTAAAAAAACTAGTTGGTCAGCCTTGGAGATAGCAAGTTCATCATCTTGAGGATGCTCAGTAAACACACACAATCAAGTGTTTCTCTTCCTTTTATGAGTTGTGCCATTGAGTGACAAAGTCAGAGTGGAGGGAAAGCTTCTCATCATGAGTCATTTCAGCCAATGAGTGGAAAAGAGGTGGTGGAATTAGAGGATCGCCCCATGCAACTCTCAGGGAACAGACACATCCAAGCATGGGGTGTCCCCGGATGCTAACGTCACAAAGAAGAGACATTATGTGCTTCCTGATCAAAGAACATAGCACCACCCTGTTCTTGCCAAAGGATCAAGTCCGAGTCTGACCGTGCTTCTGGATCTGGCTGTTAGTTTGCAGGCAGTTGTCCTCTGAGGCAGGGGTACAGGATGGATTGCACGTGAGAATGCAGTCAGCATAAACCTCGCTGGGAAGCTGTGCGGGCCCAGCAGCCATGCTCTGCAATGGACGGATTAAAAGAACGGAGAGCGAACTTGCCGATTAAAAGAACTTAAATATACATCAAATTTAAAAACAAGAATGAGACTGATGTAGCATCAGGGATGGAGCCTTGGATGACAAAAATATAAAGGGAAGTGATTACTATAAGTCAGACAGTGGTTACTTTTTGGGGGACAGAGTGGGTTGGGTTTGGAGGGTGACACATGCGGACTTCTGGGTGTATGGCAAATTTCCGTACCTTGACCAAGGTGGGGATATAAGGGCGTTCACCGAATAACAGTGCATGGAGGTATGCATTTGTTTTGTGTGGTTTTTCTGTGTCCGTTTCATTTTATAATACAAGGTTAAAAGTGTAAAGTATTTTAAAGAAAACAGTGCATACTATATTTTACTTGCTGACATTCATGTTGATTACTAGACTACTGAAACTTATGAGAAATTCTGCTGTAAAGAAGCCTGTTTTCTTTGTTTAAACACACACACTCACACATTCAAAGCCAAGGAACAGAATGCTTCAGTTATGCTGGAAGCCACTGGGTAAGACATTGCTTCAAGAAAGAGTTTCATCCTTCTAACAACCTCTTTGCTGTTGCTCAACACACACACTCACACATTCAAAGCCAAGGAACAGAATGCTTCAGTTATGCTGGAAGCCACCGGGTAAGACATTGCTTCAAGAAAGAGTTTCATCCTTCTAACAACCTCTTTGCTATTGCTATCGATATGACATTGATTGTACACCAGGTCCCTGAGGCATCATTTCAGCCACCCATGGCACCGGGAGGCCTTTGCCCAGCTGGAGCCTGGTCATCCTCTCTAGCTGGGGTCATTTCCTGATCTCTGTTAAATACCAAAAAGGGATTAAGTCTCTGTCTACTTGAAATAGACAGTTTTCCAGTTTGGCCAAGAACATTTTATGTCTTAGGAATCTGTACCATGAGGACAGATGGTCCGAAGAGTTTGGGCCGTCTGAATGGGACCATTGACAAGGTCAGGGTAGGCTGCTGAAAGAGCCCACTGTGGACCTGTGTGTTGAGGGGTGAACGTTGCATTGCTCTGTGGTACCATCACCATTAGTCGCTGTGCAGTGTAGGGTATCCTGTCCCACATTGACAAGGTCAGGGTAGGCTGCTGAAAGAGCCCACTGTGGACCTGTGTGTTGAGGGGTGAACATTGCATTGCTCTGTGGTACCATCACCATTAGTCGCTGTGCAGTGTAGGGTATCCTGTCCCACACATCCCGCAGACCTGTGAAGTTCAGCAGTGGGTGCCCTCAGCTTACACACTGCGCAGCACTGGAGTTCTTCTGTGGACACACATTTGAGAAAGCCATGCAGCTCACCTTTCACCTGTCATCGTTCCCTGTCCCAGGGAATGCAGTGGAGTGAAATCAACAGAGAAGCCTTTTGCCAGAGACGTGGGGGTGTTGGTTTTATAGATACTCATAAATGCATATTTATCTTCACTGGCAGCAAACAATTCACTTGTAAACAGGAAAGATGGCATAGCAGCATGTGACTCAAATAACTCATATGCTTATGTTATTCCTTTGGATTTTTTGCTTTCTTTTAAAAATGCCCACATTTTTCATATATGCCTTAATGCATATGTTTAGAACTGTATGTATTTTTTTATTTTTAAAGTAATTAGGAATCTATTACAGAAAAATTTGAAAAATGAAGAAATATTCCTACATTCTCACCATTGTAATATAATCATGGTTATAACTTCAGTATATTTTATTCTAGTCTATTTTGGTGTGAATTTTTTTATAGTTATAATAAAAACATGAATATAATTGTGTTTTTACCTTTTAAGTTTATCCTGAGATAATTGTGATATAATCATATACATCTTTCCATGTTGTAATATTATCCCAACAGTCTTTTTTTTAGTACATTGAATTTCATTATTTGGCTCTGTCATATTTTTCAAGTGTTAATGTAACTTTGTTTAGTAGATTTCCCCTCACATTTTAGCAAATAGAATATTTTTGTATAACATATAGTTTTGTGCACATTTGCTGTTTGGGTATTGTTGTTGCTTTGAATTTTTAAAGTAGAGTTTTAACAAGTGTCAAGAGTTTCAGGAAACTTCTAATTCTTCCTTCAGCTCTGCCATCCAGTGTAGCAAGTCCAGCAATCGCAGGAGTAGGAGGCATATATTAACTTACCAACTGTTGTTCCACCAAGGATTTTAGTTGTGTGCACTTAATAGAGCCATATAACACTTGACAGAGGCAGTGATCTTGGCTGCATCTGTAAATGTAACAGCTACAGAATAGCTGTTACACTGGGCAGTTTAGAAACTCATGGCAGAAAATGAGGGTTCTTTATTTGGAGCCCAAGGAGATGTGACGTCATGGTGTGTGCATGCATTCTTGGGGGATGGGTCTTGGTTTTCATCAGATGTTCAAAGGGGCCCAATAACTGCTGGCAGAATCCCAGTGTTTGCTAGTGGAGTAGAAAGCTATTTCTGTGGGTTTGTGGCGGAACTTTTCCCTTCTTCCCTGACTCCCTCCAGCCCTGCCCCCCTTTTCTCATTCAGTATATTCAGTAACAGAACTAAGAAAAATATACTTTGGGGAGAGCAGTTATTTACTACATGCAAGTTTATAGTGACTTTCAAAAATTAAAAAAACAACTGAACCTGTATATAAAATTGTTCGTTGGAAATACTCCATCAATCTATGTTGATTGTGGAAGTTTTCCTATTAAAATCAATAATTTAGTGGTGATTTTTTAAATTTCAGATATTTTTTAAAAAGCATGACTGGAAAGCTGATCATTAAATAAATTTCTATTAATTCAAATTATTAATTGAGTGCAGAAATTATTCATAAGGTAGTTTATCCTTTCATAATGTTATTTGGAAAGGTGTAGATTTACTAAGTTTATTAAAATTTGAGGCTTTCTAAGTTTTTACAAGGCTAAAGAAAAGAGACAGTCTATGCAAACAACCTTAAATAAAATTATTTTTAATGTCAAGAACTCTCCTTCTTTAAAAGAAAAAATCTTAGTCATTTTTTGATAACCAAATGGCAGGAGCAACTTCTATTTTCTAGTGTAATGGGCATGGTAATGTGTAATAACCACCTTGTTCTGAATAGATGACTAATCAGTATCTTATGTTTTTCTTAGGAATGGGCTGTTTCTGGGGAGCTGAGAGGAAATTCTGGACCTTGAAAGGAGTGTATTCAACTCAAGTTGGCTTTGCAGGAGGTTATACTTCCAATCCTACTTACAAAGAAGTCTGCTCAGGTAGGAAGGATTTTCTCTGTTTGTCACTAGGGTAAACTAGGGAGGGATTGTCCCTGCTGGTGGGTGACAGGATTGTTAGGATGTAAATAAATTTTTTGTGTGTCTTCTCAAAAAATATGAAATATAAATAAATAAGTAAATATATTTGTTGGCCTCCAACTTTATATTTTTAGAAGATAATATACTTCTTATGGTATGTGTCATTTAGTTTTTGCTGTGGAACAACCACACTAAAACATAGTGGCTTGCAACAGTCATTGTATTAGCTTATGACTCTGCCAGTCAGCAGTCTAGGCTGGGCTCAGCTTGGTGGTTCTTCTGCTGGTCTCGCCTGGACTGACTCATGTGGCTGCAGCCAGCCGGTGGGTTGCCCGGGGACTTGCTGGTCTAGGATGGCTTCAATCACATGGCTGGCATTTGGAGCTGGCTGCAGGTCAATGCTTGCTGTGGGCTGGGCTACTGGGAATGATGGACCCTATGTCCTCAGCACACTGGCTGGGCTAATTCCCATGGAGGTGGATGCACAGAACCCAGGAGCAGCAAGAGAGGGTAAGCCCCATTCTTTGGGTCATGTTTTCTATTGTCCATTTGGCCAGAGGAAGTCCCATGGTGAAGCCTAGAGTTACGGTGGGAGGGGCTTCCCAGAGGCAGGGATACAGGGACTTAGGGAGATGCAAAGAAATCAGGGCCATTATGTAACAGCCTCCCACATGGGACAAACACATCACGTGCCAGTCATGTTTTCCGGAGGGAAAAATGTTAAAAAGCCATGCTGTAATACAGGGATTGGCAAACTACAGCCCCTAGGCCGAATCCTGCTTGCTGCCTGTCTACGTAAATAAAGGTTTGTTGGAACACAGTTGTGCCTGCCTCATGTTTTCCGGAGGGAAAAATGTTAAAAAGCCATGCTGTAATACAGGGATTGGCAAACTAGAGCCCCTAGGCCGAATCCTGCTTGCTGCCTGTCTACGTAAATAAAGGTTTGTTGGAACACAGTTGTGCCTGCCTTTTCCATATTATTTACGAATGGTTCCATGCCATGGTGGCAGGGTCGAGTGGTTGTGACAAAAACTGTGTGGTCTGCAAAGCCTAAAATATGTACTATCTGGCCCTTTACATAAAAAAGTTTGCCCACCTCTGCTGTAGGCTAACAGGATAGGCAGAAGCCCCGAGGGCAAATTCTAGCTTGAATACCAGATCCCCTCTCTGGATTTGTTTCTGGCCTTCAAGGATTTCCTTTACTTTCCTGCCAGCACAGGTAGCATTTACAACACATTTTTCCAAAAGAATATTTTATTTACCATCTTAAGAGGGAGGGTTTACCTAGGTCTGTAGACCACCGTATTGACAGAAATGGGATTTTAAAAATATATCCACAGTTTTATCTTCCTAAAGTAAAGGCTTGCCTTGGGGTTATTCGTGGAGGATCCTCCGGCTCTCTGAGGGCACCGTGAAGGGTCAGGGGAGTTGGAGTGGGAGCTTGTCGAGTCATGAGCATGTTGATTTGTGTGCCACAATGTGAATTCTGATATTGAAATGAAATTTCAGCTGCACAACAATGAAAACATTATTAAAAATAAGCTTGTTTTTCTTGCCTCTAGAGAAGGATTGATATATTCACATTGGTACTGAGAATGTGGACTATCGAACAAACACTTTAATGGTTACTCCATTGTGGTTTTTTTCTGCTTCTGTTTCAAAATTGAGCAAATGCTTATGCAGAGCTATAAATAGATGCAAATGAACCCGGAGTTGCCCAGGTGTATCCTCTCAAGTCTTAGGAATGGAAATAAACAGATTCCTTCCTGTGATTTCAGACAGGACTTAATGGCTTAAGAGAAAAAGGTTGCTAAGAAAACCTCCAAGTATCTACTGCTTATACTGTTATCTTCAGCGAGCAAAACATGAATAATAAATGTGGATATTGTGATCTCTTGCTTGCTCAGACTCCAATTCAGTTCTTTATCTTAATAATAACAGCATAATAACTGTGCCATGTGCTGAACTCCTACTACGTGCCAGACGTTGTACGAAGCACTTTTCATGTCCTTGCTCTTTTCCTAACAGTCCCACGAGGTATCTCAGTTTCTATCTTCTACAAAGGGGGTGTTGAGGCTCCAGGAGGATAAGTAATTTGCCTGAGATCATCCACGGGAATCCTATCCCTCCCTCATCTGAGATTTACCCCACTGACCACGGTGGAAGCCACCCAGCTGTTCTCCACGCATCTATTCACACTTCCCTCCACCAGGCCACAGATTCTCTCCGGGTCTATCCCGCCACTGTACTTTTGAATATATTGGTGTGTTTCTTAATGATCACTACAAGGAAAATACCAATGAATTCTTTTTGGTTTGTTTTTCTGATGATTAGAAGGAAAAAAGACAAAATCCTTTTAAGATACAGTTCGTGCAGACAGCAATGGTGAAGTACAGAAATTATGGAGGTTGGTAAAGAACTCTCTGTTTGATATGAACACTACCTGCTAAGTTAGCGGTAGCATCAGAAAGCTTGGTTGTCATGGAAACTTGTTCTTGATTGGAAAGAGATAGTTATAGTCTCACCCAGACATAGAAGGAGAGAGGGTTTCTTTCCTCTGGCTTTTTTTGTTCTGATCATAAAAGGGAAAAACAAAAAGGCAGAGAGAAGCTGGGATAGAAAGGTCCCCATGGCACAGCCATGGTAAAAGCCTCAGATCCCAGGGAATGGCAGGGAAGGAGAACATATAAGTTCCCCAGCTAGAGTAATTACGGTAACCAGCTAATTATAGATTTTTGACCAAGGAGTGAGGTTGGGGAGGCAGAAAGCAGGTTACTCTGGCGGCCTCCCCTCTGAAGCCTCTGGTGCTCAAAGCTTTGCTGAACAAGCCAGCCCTGGAGGGGTCTGCCCTGAAAGAAAAACCACACACAAAAAACAGAACCCAAGGCTCTGGTAAGGTGCTGGTAATTGCTGAGATTCAGTGTGAGAGAAATACTGGTCTATACTCTAGAATTTGCATCCATTTCAAAATCGCTTACTCCTGTGTTTGTAATTAAGTCTGTAAAACTTTGACCACAGCCTGTGAATATTTGTAAATGTTTTTCTTTATTTATCTTTATTGTTCTGAGAAAAGATGCATAAGGACCTGTGTTCATGTTCCTTATCTTGTACAGCAGTACACCTGAGCCTAAGGTACCATTTGGTTTCTTGCGGCAGGTGCCAGAATCATTGGGAAGGGGTTATCAGAATCTGCAGGCTAGCTTTACCAACCCCCCCCCAATCTGTCATGTGATGACACACATCAGAGCTTCCATAAGCATCATCTCTGCGCACAGAGTGGCGACCACATGTCGAGGAATCACTGGCTCATTTGCACGCCCACTCTGCTAGTGGCCTTGACAGGAGATGAGTGAGCAAGCAGGTGGGTGGGTGTGTATGTGAGTGTGTCCAGAGAGGATGCACAGTCATGTCCGAGTGGTATTTCTGTGTGGAGATGGATGGGCCAGTGACTCTGACCCGAGCTGGAGTGTGATTAGGCACGTAGCAAGATGTATGGCTTCTAGTAAGAGCTAGAGATGAGGCCAACTCAGCAGTGACACATGGACATGTAAACAGAACATTTATGAGTGGATTCACTGATGGGTCTGTCATATGCTGGGCGATCCCCATCTCCCATGTGTGACTTGAGTCTGACATACGTAGAAGACACAAGGGGATGACGGTCTCTTAAGAATTTGGAATAAAGGGCCCATTGGGAATGAAAGTATGGAATAAGCCTGTAACGAGCTGCAACAGAGATAGGCAGTCACTTAGAAGAGAGATTGGTTTCCTGGTTGTGGGACTTCAGACTAACCCAATGGAATGCCTTGTCCATGTGAAAGGAAAAGTAGGCCCTCAGCAGGAGGTGGGTCAGCCGGGATGGCCTGGGAGAGGGGAGGTCTTGGAGGCACCCTCTGGGGTGTTCTGGGCACATTCACAGGGCCTGACACCACAGCACTTCTAAGTTGTAATGGCACTTGTAAGTTGATCCATAGTCTAGAACCTTCTAGTCCTTTGTCCCCCCCGCCCCCCCCGTGGAGGTTGTTTCCAGAAGTAAGATGCAGTGAGGCCAGGTCGGCCAGGCAGATAGTTCCAGTCTCCTTTCGAATTCAATAAAATGCCACTCTGAGATGTATATCTCAGCCTGTTGTGAGTCTGGTGTACATGGGTCATTCTCTCCAAATTGGATTAACCTAGGGTTGAATTAAATGATAAACATGGAATTTTGGCCTTCAAAGCTGAGAGCCAGAAGTCAGAACTCCGTGATTTTCCAAAGGCTGTGATTGCCTCCTTGCATTTCTCTGGAGATTGTTCATCCCTCACGTGTCCATAATCTCATTTAATCATCTTTGAAAAGTGACCATCCTCATGTAACAGGCGCTTACGCGTCCCTTCCTCAGATTCATCAATCAACACTGAACCTATAGCTCATGGGCTGAGAAATGTGCATCTCCCTGTGTCTTTGGCCTGCATTCTGAGCCCTCTGAAGGCTGCCCCCCACCAGCTCTGCACCAGTCACCAGTCTCAGCTTGGATGCAGGGTGGCATCTCACGGCTGGCAGGCCGTTGTTGGGCCACCATTTCTGCCATGTTTCCAGTCTGTCTCTAAGAGATGTGCTGAGAATTAATTGAAGTCTTACTGGCCACCATTCTATTCCTGAGATGACTTCCAAGGATTCCTCCATTCACTTGTGTTCCTTACAAGCTCAGTGTCGGCCTGGCATGAAGGAGCTCGGAGCCTGGAATGAAGCAGCCATCAGGAGCTGAACTTCCATGCAGGCTTTCTTGAGGAAGTGAAATACTCCACTTATTGGGAACGTACCACGTGCCAGACATCGCACCGGCAGCTGGAGAAGGTGTTTTATGATGTGATGCCGAAAACCAGTAGTCCCTGTCCCCCAGAACTCTCCTCTCTATAGTTATGACGCTTGATTTTTCTCATTTGTTTTGAAGAGTTGGACTGACCCGGTTTTCAATTTACAC